CTTGGTGCCAGCAATCCACATTGCTGCCTGCGTGGAATGCAGGCTGCCATGGTCACCAAGAGGGCTTCATACGATGTGCAACTCCATATATATAACTAGAAAGGGCAGTTGTTGCCAACTACATGTATCCCCCGTGATCTCCCCAAGATGTGTAAGTATACAAAGTTTGGTCGCGCTAGGTCAATTAGGGGTCGAGTTATAGAGCGGAAGGGAAATTCTCTGCGGCGGACCGAGCGGCGGCGGCGGCGGCTGGGGAGACATGAAACCATAATATCCCTGCCGACTTCATCGCGGGGGATACAATAATAGTAGGAGGTTCAACCAGGCAGCAGTAGGAGCTATGACGCGATGACAAAAAGGACCCGCCGATGGGGGGAAATCCGTCTACTGAAGCCATACAGACAAAATTCAACTCTTCAAAATCTTTACGGTGCAAGCACGCGCGACTTCCCAAGGTGCACATCAGGTGTACTTAGAGAGAGAGAGAGAGAGCGAGAGAGAGAGTCGAGCGAACTGGAGAATCGATATCGAGTTACTTAGGGACACCTTCGCAAAAACTCTCTCTCGCGCGCGAGTTACGAGGTTAAGTAAACCGACTGACTGTGCCAACTCCCATATGCAGCTCCACTCGATAGCACACAGGCGCACGCACGCACGCACGCACGCACGCACGCACGCACGCACGCACGCACGCACGCACAGTAACAATTCTGCAGCCAGATGACTATGGGATGCAGTACATGATGATAAAACTATATTACACGGTAATTTTCGCTAGAACGCTGTGGATTCCCTCCCCCCCCCAACCACACACACACACACACATACAACTCTAATAGCTTCGAGCAAAAATAATGTGAAGTGACTTTGCCTACGGAGGCAAGTCTTCACATTATAGTTACATAAGACGAACGGGCGACCGGCGTGCGAGCAAAGCATCGCCGGTCCCACGTCGGCATCAGCCACTCAGTAATTCTGTGTTGGTGTTTATGGACGTCGAAGGTGCCTATTTCCTGGCCTAGGTTAAATATATGCTGCCCTCGGCGAGCTTAGGGGCGTAACTCGAACTATTTTCTTAAGGTCAATCCGAGACTAAAGCCGTGCTCAACCGGCATGCCGCGCATTTTACAGCCGTGTATCACTCACTCCACATCCATACGCACGCCCGCACGCACGCACGCACACTGGGAGAGAGAGACGGAGAGAGGGGAGAGAAAGCGAGAGCGAGAGAGAGAAAATTCACACACTGGAAGCCAGTTGACAGAAACGTTTTAATCATGACGGCAGTCTTATTCCTAACTCAGATGTTCTATAAGATTACTAGTCATCGTCATCTTAGAGCTATAATGCTTCCGATAGTTGAAGTTGTCTGTCTGGCTGTCTGTCGATCTCCAATATTCCGCTCTGCAACATCTCACCTGTGTCTCGAGCCACTTTTCTGAGAGCCCCATCATCTCTTCATATGTCATCTTGCTGAACAAATGTGAGTATTTGTGAAGTCTCAAACTCTTCAGCCACAGCGGCACGTCTGCAACAAAACAACCATCACCGTTCATAAATAATAAATTACACTTATAAACTATATTATATATATATAATTATATATATATATGTACGTGAATATATAAACTTATTCAAGCTAGTATAAACTGAAACTTAGCTATAACTATAGCTATAACTGTATATATATATACTTATTCAAGTTTTATTAACAGCTTCAATGCCGGAATTCGACATCGTCATGACGACGTCCCCAAACGCCGGAATCTAACGTCTGCAGCAACACGATGTGTTCCGTAACATCCGTTACGCTAGGCACACGTATCGTCAAATCAACATCACATCGCACAAAAAAACGAGGCGTTTCAAGAAATTTTCCGCGATCACCACACACCGCCACCGCCATCTCCAACCCGCCACACGCCCTCCCCACCGCCGATCCTGAATCCCTACTCCAGCAGTTGAGCGATAGTGGCGAGCGAGGAGGCAGCAGTGAAGCGGTGAGCCGCTACCGAGACAACTATCTAGAGACGCCATCTAGCAATCTAGAGACGCTTGCGCGTATCTAGGGCGAGGCGCAGTTCACGCTTCGCCTGTCCTCCGCGGGCCACGCCGACGCTCGAGCGAGCAGACGCCACGTCGCGATCGCGGCCGATGACCACGAAGGTCAGTGCAAGGTCATCCACGCTCACAGTCGGCCGGGTCAAGTTCAGTCAGGTGTGTTGGCACTGACCAGCTGGTCAGATCGGCATGTAATCACGCACGTGTAGACACGTGTGTCCACTCTCAACACTGAGTGACCTGACACCCCATTGTAAATTTTACCCAATACAATACAACACAATGCAACGCAACATAACGCAATACAAAACAATACAAAACAATACAGCACAATACAACGATACGCAATAAAATGCAATACAATACAATACAACACTACACAACACAACACAATACAAGTGTACCCAAAGTACAACGTGGCAGAAATGTGTGGCGAACTGCGGCCTCTGCCACGCATCCCATGCAGCAGAGAGGACTGTGCAGAAAGTGTTGAAGGGCCTCAAGGATGTGGAAGAAAATCGCGGAAGCCGACGCGTGAGACTTCACCCGATCGTGCGCCATGAATATCTATCTATCTATGCATCGCAAATACAGATGAGGGTGTGAGAACAGAACCGATCCCGCCTGAGAGGAATAACCACAACCCCCCTGCGGTTGTTGAGGCTAGGTCTGACACGCTAGACGAGTTTATACGTGCTTTTCACACGCGCATGCTAAACCGCATGCCGACTTTATATTGCCCAGGCCCCAGAGGTGTCGTATTGAACGTCCTATCACAATGTTTAGATAGATCGTGGATTGCATGAATGCTGGGCAACCCACAATATTATTTCCTAATTTTAATCTTAAAACACAACATTCAGAACACCGCCAACACGCACGCAGACACGCACGCACACACGCACGCACGCACGCATGCACACACACGAGACCCTCCTCTACACGCTACGACGATCGCGGAAGGATTAAGATAATTTCCCGCCATCATTAGAACGCTCTCATTGAGCGCGCGTGGGCATGAGTCACACGCGGATACATTAAAGCCACTTACCGTGGCAACAGAGGTTCCCACGAATACACATTCGCGGTGTGCGCACGTGCGTTGCTACCGTGGCGACAGCGCATCACAAGGTACCGCCGACCATAGCTCTAGAACTGTAGCGCCCTTCGCTCTTCCACACGCGGCCTGTGGCAGAGCGAAGGGCTATAGTTCTATAGCTACGCCGACCACTGGTCCGATCACGCGCCGCGATTCCACATGCACACACACGCCACGATCCCACACACGCCACGATCCCACACACACACGCCAGGATCCCACACACGCCACGATGAGCGAAACGAGTAGAGAGGAGAGAGGAAACACGGTGAAGATATTCATCTGAGTGGGGGAGGGGGGGGGGTTGCGGTGAAGCACAGAGATGATGAGAGATTGATAGATTACAGATTTCGTCGGTTGCTAGTGCCGACAGATTGTGAGCATTCCACGTTCAGACAGATGAGCCCCCAGCACGTGTGCAGAGTAGCTAGGAGACGCGTGTGCAGTTTCATACACGCGCAGGTGCTTCTACTGTTGCACAGCACACAAGATCACAGAACACCCACCAGCGTACACAGCACCTGCAGATGAAAGCATCTACGCACGCACGCACGCACGCACGCACGCACGCACGCACGCACGCACGCACGCACGCACGCACGCACAACGTATCCAACACACAACCCGAAGCAAACCCACAAACGCACATGTACTAAAATACTACACACACACGCTTGCACGCACGCACACAATTACGTACGCGCACCCACACATCCTAAGCACACGCGCGCGTACGCACCTCCTAGCAAACACATACACAAGCACGCTCTCACGCACGCACGCACGCACGCACGCGCACACATGGTATACAGCAGGAGCATGTGGCGCCGTGGGTGGCCAGCCCACGATCAATGATTGCCCCCGTGTTAGCCGCGGCTACATCTAACATTTCTTTATAACAAGCCGCTGTGATTGAAATTCACGGTACGTTTTCACATCGAATCCCTACTGTGTCTCACTTCTTATCCAACTCTGGAGGCCATCGCCCTCATCCTACTAAATCCTGCATCCAACTCCTTTCCTACCTAATCCTGTATCCACTTTACTTCATGCCTATCACCGGACCGGAATTATCCCCTCATCCCACTTAATCCAACTCACTCCCTGCTTAATCCTGTATCAACTTTACGTTCTGCCCAACCTTGCATTCACCCTTCATCCTATTTAACCCTGCATTCAATTCGAGTCCTGTTTAATACATAACTAAGCTTACTACCTGCTTGACCTTGGATTCACCCCTAGACCCTACTTATTCCTGCACCCAACTCACTTACTTCTCAGTCCTTTATCCACGTTATTTGCTGCCACACCCTGTATCCACATTACCCACCCTCCGGGTCTAATCAAGAGCTCATAAAAGAGCTCTCTATAATGAGCTCTTGGTCTAATCCATCTCACTCCCTCCTACCTCACTTCCTCCCTATGCAACCGTCGATTCGTGTCTTTTCCTACCTCCTCCTCCTAATCCTAGCTCACTTCCTATCCGACCCTATCTCTCCCACATACTTCCTGTCTGACCCTATACCACAAGGTCGATTCCACCTCACTTTCCAATATATCCCTAATCCAACTCACTTCCCAACTACCCCTGAATCCACCTCACTTCCCAATTAATCCTTAATCCATCTCACTTCCCAATTAATCCTGAATCCACTATACCTCCCAACTACCCCTGAGTCCACCCCACCTCTTGCCCAAGCCTGCCCAAGCCCCCCCCCCCAGTGTTCTACCTAGTCAGTCCCTCTTCTACTATAACGTCAACATCACATCCAGAGAGACATGATACAAGATTGCGTGGCACAGCTTTGCTGTTGATCCTAAGCGCTGCGCGCGGATGAGACGCGCAGTTCCGCGGGATATGCGCACGCGACCGGTGGGATGTTTCAAGTATGAAGCGCTGTCCGCAGTGGAGACGTGCGCCAAATTCGAGGCCCGGCGCACGTCTCTACAGCGGTCAGCGGATGGTCTGTAGTTTTAGAAGATGACAATGATTATATATTGACGATATTGTATGAATTGGAGATTATAAAAACCGGAATCAAATATTGCTACACATTCAGTCTCCAGATAGCTGAATCAAAAAGATTAGAAATTTAATATGAACAAAAAACTATCAATGGTTTAATGACATTCCACAAACAAAGACAGGATAGTAGAATTAATAGGCAAACCAAGTAATCAAAAAATGCCCACAAATATTCATACTAGGGATGTTAAATTATTGATATTAGGAGGTTAATGACGACTATTGATGGAGTCCGAATTAAAAATGTAAGGTTCACGACGAGGGAATATTATCATGGGTAGAAGAGCCAAATTATGGAAATCATACAATAGAAGCAATTAAGAGTGAAATTATATCGAATGCACAGTTGGACCTTCCTTCCTAAATAACAGTGAAAGATGGAATAACTTAACTAAGAAAAGAAAAATGTTGGGGGATTTCCAAATGAGTGCCTGCGCAAAATAATAATCACGCAGAAAACCTACCGAAAGGCATTGAAAAGACGATGAAAAACTCCAAGGAAAGATACGGAGAAATCATTAAAAATAACATATAGTTTCTATATGTAAATCGTGGGTAAATACATAAAAAACGCATTATTTTATTGAAAAATCCCAATATTACTTATAAAACACCAAGAGATGGCGCTGTGGCATGTAAACATTAGCCTCGATTAGCCTCCGAAAATTGGTGTGTTTTATTGAATTGTTCAATGAATGACGCACCGTTCGACGTTCCGACAGGCGAGTGAAAATGCCAGAAAATTATTTCCTTGTTCGATGCGAAATGCATCGGCCACAGGGCATTTCATTATTTAGGAAAAGTAAATAGGCCGCGAAAAACGTAGCACAGCAACGACAGGTAGGGTAAGTAACGTCGTGACCCCGCATTCATCCATCAAACCGAAGAAGGTGGAGCTTATTCTGTTTACGGAGATGCCAAAATACAAAAGAAAGATCTATCGGCAGTGCGGCCAAACAGCGTGTTATTTCGTTTTGTGCGCAAACTCTATCGTAGGAAACCGTTCTCTAAGCCTAGCAGTATGCCCTAGTTCGTGAGACGGCAATTGCCATGCCGTAATAGGTAATTATAGCTAAAAGTTAGAAAGATAAGGGGACGCGTAGACTGTGATTGGAAGACACAAAGTCCAATCCTCGGCGAGCGCCTCGGCACATGGCCGCAATCACGTCTAGCGCGCCACGCACGATACATTCAGCTATCGACGACAAACGAACGCACACCCCAGGTGACAACTAGCTGCACTGGCCGGCCATGCACTCACGAGACATGTGCGCGATACGAGGAGTTATCCACTGACATGATCGTGGCAGTGAAATGGACGAGAGAGAGAGATAAGAGAGGC